TTAATATTCGTATGGAAAAACTTAGATACAGGCTAACAACTATGAGGAAAGCTTAGTTTCAATGTTATAAATGTGTGAAAGTTTCCCATCAATCCGAGTGGCGCGTAATTAGTAATAGGTCCCGAAATATTCCTTTTTTACAAATATCTTAAAACCAGCAAACATTACGTATATTTTCGTATGAGAGATCATTCGTAAGATAAATGGCTATGAAAGATTGAGAGTGTTTCGCCACATGAAAGAAAAACAGAACAAAGTAACGTAACACTAAAGTATTATTATATTGGATATCTGTTCATAACAATATTATAATAATAAAAATTATATTTTGTTATAAGATTTTTAGGTTAAAATATAATCATTAAATAGTTAATCGATGCATGCATCAATTAGATTTGATTTGAACTCAATTATAATTTGTGACGCGCTCTAAGAAAAGGGGCCTAATCCAGAAATCGATTTTTAGATGCTTCTTCAGAGTTCGTCATATATGTTGGATATTACCATCTTTCCTACTAGACGCCACTTGTTTTTGCATAAAATATGCATAAATCACACAAATAAAAATAAATGGCCTATTTTTAAACTAATTATTTTTAAATACTTTAAACTAAATGTATAATTTAAATGCAAAAAACCTTAAATCATAACTATTATTTTTCACTCATACTCACCATATTTTTAGATCTTGATGTCATATCATATACTTTCATTTACCATTTTAATTAATTAATGTTTATTACATATTTTATACGTATATAGAATATTATAGAATATAATAGATTTTATTAGTTCAAAATATTGCAGTGTTTATAATGTTAAACACGTCAAAAAACAATATATAAATATTATAAAAAACTAAATATAAATAAATACAATAAATTCTCTTAAATTAGAAAAAAATCATGAACACAGTAATCACATCTGTTTACAAGGTATGCTTTTAAAGAAGGTTTATGACAAAATTATAATAGCCTTAAGATACACTTGTAAAGTAAAATATAAAATATCTTAAATCAAAAATTCAGTTAAAATAAATTATTCAATTCATATCAATAGTTTTAATTACAGGGTGAATCGGAAGGATCGCACCGAACTCTAGGACTGCATTCTACACATTAAAATAATTTAAACAAACTCAAATGTTCTTAATCGATTCTCATTTGTTTTGAAGTTATAGCGTAATTAAAAAATAAATAAAATGAAACGGTAACATTTGTTTAATAGTTATGACTTTTTATAAGGTGTTCAAAAATACCCCCATTGAGTTCTAAACATGCTCTGCTACGTCTGCGAACAGCGCCTGTTGCTTGTCCTATTAACTCTTGTTTTTCTTTAAGAACTGTGCCAGTATTAATTATTCGTTGAATTAGTGCCTCTCGATTATTCACTTTAACTTTGTAAACTTCTGTTTTAAACCAACCCCATAAACAAAAATCTAGTGGTGTTAGATCTGGACTTCTTGGAGGCCAACTAATTGTTTTAAACCAACCCCATAAACAAAAATCTAGTGGTGTTAGATCTGGACTTCTTGGAGGCCAACTAATTGGACCTCCGCGACCAATCCAACGCTATGGAAACATTTCATCCAAGTGTTGCTTGACCTCACGAGCGATATGTGCAGGGGCTCCATCACGCTTCTTACGTTTAAAGGGACATTCTCTAGTAATCCTGGAAACTCATTTATTAAAAAATTAAGGTAGTGTTCCCCTGTGAGGCGATTCTCCATAATAAAAGGGCCAATTAAATACCCAGCAATCATAGCACACCACACATTTACTGAAAACCTGTGCTGAAAATTGGTTTCGACTATAGCATGGGGATTTTCGTCAGACTATACGTGAGAGTTGTGGGTATTATTAATGCCGTCACGGGTAAATGTTGCTTCATCAGTAAAGAGTATACGCGATACAACTCTACGGTTGTAGAAACTGTACTCTTTGTAAATGGTATGGGTATAAGCCTTGCTCGTGAAGTGTGTGTATTACCCGTTTCTGTGAAATGTCCAATTGAGTAGCGATTCTTCTGGTGCTGGTCGTTGCATCTTCTTCCACTAGATCCAATATATTTTCCACTTCTTCTAAAGTTTGTCGATCAGCTTTTTCAGATGTTATTTTAGCACTTGAAAGAGTTCCAGTCTCGCAAAGTTTGTTAAAAATTCGAATAAACACGTTTTTGTCAGGAGCCCTTTCACGTGAAAAAAGTCGCCGATATTCTTCTACAGCAGCTGTGGTATTGCCATTACAAAATCCATAAACAAAAACCATATTAGCTTAATCTAAATTTAAATAAACTTTTGGCATTTAAAAAATACCACTGACGCTGGCAGTTAGGTCTTTTCCATAGTTTTTCAAAGAACATTAGATAATAATTTATTTTTAATTTATTTTTAATTTCGCTATAACTTGAAAACAAATAAGAATCGGAAGAACAGTTAAGGTTTTTTTATTATTTTGATGTGTAGAATGCAGTCCTAGAGTTTAGTGCGATCCTTCCGATTCACCCTGTATAGTACCTTGCCATTTAGTATACGCATTTAAATATATGAATTTGTTTGACTTAAAACGAACATTTTTATGTATGTGGGAATTTTATAGTATTCTGTAATCTGACAACACTGCCGCAGAAAAGGACAACATGCATTTTCATAGGACTAAATGCATGAATATCTAGGGCAATTATCGCAGAAGATTTACATAGAACTAGACGCGTTTAGAATGTACAGGGTACCGTTCTCCATATTTTTCTCCCAAGTTGAATTTTTGGATGAAAGGCATTTTGAAAGTCAGCTAAGAAAGGCAATAATGATGATGAAGATGAAAATAATAATGACGCATTGACGTGTATTTGAGAATATCGATTTTTAATGTTAACTTAAACACTAATTAAAATTACCTATTAAAGTAACAAAACATTTTAATTCTAAGAAGACCTAGTCCTTTAAATATGTATGATAACTACATAATTTATTTTTTCTACTCCTATTACGGAATTTGACCGTTCTAATATAACTTTTATCTATGGAATGACATATATTCCGTAAAGTGTTACAGAATGAAATATTCTATCATCGGATGACAGAATAAACACTCGTGGCGACACCTCTGTTTTTAATAATTTTAATAAATTTTAGACTGATCCAACCTCACTTTCTTCCAATTAAATTATTTTCCTATGGTATTCTTTGGAAACGTAGAAAAAGTATAGTCTGAAACACGTTTGGAATTGCATATTCCGCTCTCGTGAAACCGTCAAACTCGCCTTCGGCTCGTGTGACAAACTCTTCACTCGAGCGGAATATGCTGTATTCCAAACTTGTTACAGAATATACTATTAGCAACTTCATTTTTTTCAATGCCAGTTATGAGGGGTATTTCTACCCAATGTGCGACTTTTTTGTTTAAAAGTTAGTAGTGGGGGTGATTTTTATCCGCTTACTGGTCTATAGATCCTGGCTTTTGTATAATCCCATAAACAAGTTTGGGATAGTTGAATTGCAGGACCTTGGTGGCCACCTCAAGAAATTATAATTTGATATTATTTTTTAATTTGCATCTTTGTTTGTTTTTATAGACAATTTAACCATGGAGCCTATATACATTTAATTCAAATAATACTTTGTTGTTGGCCGTAAACGACTAAAGAAATTAGTTACTTTTAACTCTCAGAAATAGTCAAAGATGGTAACTAATCTTAAATTAGTCAAACTTTAACTATTTACGTAGTAAAAAATTACTATTTAAAAGTGAAAACGACTATTTTATTAGTAAAAAATGCTGGTACTAATAGTCAAAACTATTTCATTTTAAGAGAGTGCATAGGTACATTAAAAACATTATCTTTATACACTATATAAAGCTTATTTCAATTTTGATTTTGTGAAACCAACTTTGAAAAAATAATGGAGGAGAAGAATAAATTCTAACTTTAAAAGTATTATCGTTATCCGGATAAACACAATGGAATTGTTGTGTACCTGACATCGTATTACCCATCTCAAAACTCTTCTCCAAAAATTTTGCCGCTGCTTCATAATCGTTATCGCTTTTATAAATTATAAAAATATTAGATAAAATAGATAAAAGAGAATCACTTAAAGCCCATTCCAAAGTTAGTTTCACAAAATCGAAATCGAAATAAGCTTTGAAAAATGTATGAAGATAATGTTTTGAATGTATGTACCTAGGTATGCAAAAAATTATGTTTGTTTAGATTATACAAATGTATCAAATATAATTTCTTATCCTACAATGCATTATTTTTTTTTAATTCAACTAAAGATTTAAAAAAAATCTTAAAATTTTCCATATAATTTCAAAATAAAAAAATACGTGTCATTTTTTTTTGTTTGTAAACGAAAAAAAAACTTATTCCAGCACAATATTAAACTTATTTCATTTAATTTTACCATTTAAATTTTGATATTCACTTTCTTTAGAACGTTTTTGAGACTTTTGGAGTCTATGGAAAGGCTTCTTGGGTAGAATATTTTACTACTTACTTACTTAATGAAAATGTATACAACAAAAACAATTTGTATACTGCATGCCATCAAGGATATACGGCACGTTTTGTACAGGTCTACTTTCTCAAAATGAATTAGTCAAAAATGACTAATTGTCATAGCGAAAAAGCAGCCACTAATAATTCTCGTCAACAGCAATTTGTATCCCGGACATTTAGTAAATTCCTATGTAAAATTGTTGGAACAGTTTTTTAGATGAAGTCAATTTTTCATATTATATGGAATTGACTATATCTCAAAAATCGCTTTATTTTTATAATTTTTAACGGCGTTTTCGGATTCAGTGGACAATTTTACACAAAAATTGACTGTTAAATGTCCTGGATTGAAATTGCTATGGACTACAGTTATTAGTGGCTGCTTTTTCACTTTGAAAACTAATCATTCTTGACTAATTCATTTTTAGAGTAAACCCTGTAAACCAATGTAATTTTTGGAGTGGCAACATATAATCATAATTTTCTTTGCATTACAGAAATGGGCTGGTGGCCTTTACTGTCGCAGTCAATTGATGTTCGCCTACGTGAAGTCGGCGTGGTCCCTAGGCACTTCCTTATGATAGGACAAAATACTTCCCAGGAGAACATTGAAAATAAATTAGGGCTACTAAAGAAGATTCCCTGTAGAGGTTTGTTTTCACCGTAATTTTACCTTATAAAATATTTATTAAAACCAAATAATGAAAAAACAACCACTAATAACTGTACACTGTTTAAAATATCTGTGGTGTAAAGAGTAATCCTAAAATGGTGTCAAAATCCAACACCAAGTGGTGTTAATATACACCATGACTTATGGTTGAAAATGTTATATACAGCAAACACCAAAACGGTGTTAATCTAAAAATATTTGAGAAATACATCTACACAGAAAAAATGAAATAGTTCATTTAACTATATTAATTTAGTTGACTCATAAGTATTTATTTAAACCAAATGTGGGAAGGTTAATATAAACAAAGATTAGTTTGACGGTACTATACCAGATAGTTATTTTATTTTTTTTAAATTGGTTAAATTAACCCAGAAAACTTTAGTGAAACCAACCCGCTGTATGGTTCAGTTTACTAAATATGTTGTTTGTAAAATAAGAGTTACTTCAACCTAAAGCACTCTGTTAAAACGATTAAAACAATTTGCTGTGCATTCCTAGTTGCATAGTGTGTACCGATCGCGGCAAAGGCGGTGTGGATCACGTGATGTTCTTAAATCTCGCCTCTGTTGACGTACATAAAGAGTATATAAGCTCAGGTAGTGCTTTGCTTTGGTGTGACACTACAAGTTGTTTGATACTAAAGAGGCCTTAAATAGGTGGAAACAGCTGTCAATACTTAAAGTATTTGAAGTTGGTGGAACGCACTAAAAACATTATCTCTAGCGAGTTGAAGGTTCAATTTTCTGGAAAATGGTAATAATGCGTCCAGGAACTTCTTGTTTCCTTTTTTTTCCTTTTTTTCTGTGTAGTATGATTTAATTTGACCAAAAACACATAATATTTAACACTGAAAAGGAGTTCAATTTACACCAGGTAAAATTTATTTTAATACTGTGTGAAAGTTAAATTTACACTATTTTAGTATTTAAATTTACACCGGACCAACGAACCATATTTAACACCATTTTGGTTTGTATCGATATAGACCATGTATGGTGTTAATTTGTTGTTAAAATGGTCATGAAATTTTGAACAGTGTAGTCCGCAGCAATTTGAATCCCGAATATTTAACAGTCAATTATTGTCTAAAATTGTCCCTTAAATCTGAAAATACCGTCAAAAATTATGGAAGTAGAGCAGTTTTTGAGATATTGTCAATTCCATATTATATGAAAAATTAACTAAAAATCTTAAAACTGTTCTACTTTTATAACTTTTGACGACATTTTCGGATTCATCAGAAAATTTTACCTATACATTGACTGCTAAATGTCCGTGATACAAATTTCTGTTGACGAAAATTATTAGTGGCTGCTTTTTCGCTATGAAAATTAGTCATATGCCACCTTTTATTATTACAGATAATTAATTTTAATTACACAAAAAAACAAAATAAGTAGCCACTTTATTCAAAATAAGCGTCAATTAAAATTTCATTTTGATAGGTTTCTGCAATTTAAACTTTTCTCTTTTTATCAGATTCTGATAGTAGAATAACAGATAAAAAGAAAATAGACAAAAGGTAACAAAATTTAGTTTGTTGTTTTTTATTAAATAAGTGGAGGTAAATTACTTAAATAAAAAGCATGCAAATTCTTGCGGAACATATTTACCATCTTTTGTTCACATTGTTAATAGTCTGGGTAAGATAACCAACAACAAACCATAAAATATATTTAATATAATATAATAGACACTGCAGCTGTTATAATTAACGACCAAACTTGAAGTATATTTACCTGCCATTTTTAATATATAGATATATTTCTGAAGAAACACAATTAATACAGCTTAACAACTTTATTTAAACTAAACAAGTGCCTATACCTGGATAAAAAGGACCTTTTCTCAATAATAATACGTATTTTATTAAATATTTTATATCTGCACGCCATTGCCCCATAGCGCATGTCTATATCAAATACTGTGATTGGTTTTTAAAATTACCTAGGGTTTTAAAATTTCCGGAAAAATTGAGACAGCGGAATGAATCTGTTTTTTTTCAGAAAAACGGAAAAATTGGGAAATTTTTCAGAAAAATTGACTTTTTAATTTTTTAAATTTTATTCAAAGGGTACCTAATACGAAAAAATGCATGTCAATTTTTCTGATTATAGTGATTATAATCATAATATTATGATTATAATAATTATTCCTTGTATTTTAATTTGGTAAAAATATTCTACCGGGCCACAAAAAAACATATTTGGTACTGTATTAACATAAATTTTATTTAACACTTCGATTTATAAAATTATAACTTTGTAATTTAACTTTATAAATCATTCATTATTTTGTAGAGGGATATATTTAATGGAATCCTTTTTGCAAAAAAACCCAACCAACAGTATATTTCACGTTTACGTTTATTTTCTTAAATTAACCTAATTTAATTCAATATTTAGTTTTATTCTTGCAATAAAGGATATTTTTTTAAATTAAAATAATGCTAAGTTGTTGTTTGCAACTTTTTTTCAGATGTGAATATTTAAAAAAAAATCAATTTTTCCCAAAGAAGACAATTTTTCCAAGGCCTGGAAAAAAACGGTAAAAACTTTTTTCCCCAATTTTTCCGTTTTTTTTTTCGATACTGTAAAACCCCACACGAGATCTTTACGGTAAATTATAAAACTTGAAAACTTCTACCGTAACGGGACGAAAAAATGGCGTTCTTTGCGTACGGGAATCTATAAACAGCACAACGGTTTTTGTATTGATTATCTTTTACGGGAGAAAGGGAGGAATCTATAAATCAGGCTATATAACTGTAGTTACAAGTTACAAGGAACACAAAGAAGAATTTAAAGCCAATCTTATTTGTTAAACATTCACTTTGCCCCAATTTATAATAAACTAAACAGCCCGTAACTAAAATGACAATTGACAAAATAATGTTTTTTTTTACCTTAAATGCGGTATTTTTATTAAAAATAGCACAATAATCCTTTAAATTAAAGGATTTAAGGCTGGCAGGTAAAAATTGATCATGGTGCGCAATTGATAATTATCACCGAATGAAATAATGTATAAAACTTAAACCAAAGGAAACTTAAATATTAGTTAAAAAATCGTAGGTATTAAAAAAAATAAGATTTAATTTAATAAGATAATTATTACCAGAAAGTGATATTTTTATAGAAAAATTATTGCAGAATCGTATACAGAAGAAAAATCGAACAAAATTGAGCGCCATCAAATATAAAAAAATGTTTTAGACAAAATCTACCTATTTTTAGTCGAATGATCCTAATCTTCAATAAAAAATAGGGTGTTCCATTGGAAATTTTAATTTAAAGTTACCCCCTGTTCCCCCTTTAAGGAGGAGAGGACCAATTTTAGTACTGATTGATTTCCCCCATCAAATCATTTAATTTTTATTTTAAACATTTTTTCGTAAAATGCATACTAACTGAGATATTTTAATGTTTCAAGTCAAATGACTCACCCTGTATATATATGTATATAAATATGTTTGAGATATACAACAAAAATTCCAAATTACATTTTAATTTTTAGTGATTACAAAATAATTTTTAGAGTGACAGTTTGGTGCAAGTGTAAAAAAAAAGCGACTGCAAAATATCAAAAATCCTTTTATAAACAACTTGGAAGTTACATATGGGTGATTCTACAAAAGTTGGGCAACTTTTGACCTTATTTTGTTTATAGAGTTTTCGGAGAAAATTAAACAGTATTTTGTTATGAAACCATAGATAATATAATAAATATACTGTTCTCTACCGGGCCAGTCACTTTTTTAAACAGTTTCTGAAATATCTGTATTTTCTAAATTTGAATGCAAGGGAAGTGACGATTATACCAGGGTACTAATTAAATACATAATTTATTGGAAAATATAAGATTTATTGCAACTTTGAGCATATTATACATTAAATATCTTAAAATCAAATAATACCACACATCAGTGGCGGCTGGTGGATTTTGGGTATACCGATATCTCAATTATTAGATATGGGACCCACACCAAATTTATATGAGTTTATAATGACAATAATTGTCATTAATTATTAAAAAACAAGTTCTGCGCAAGCAGAATTTAAATTGAAGTTTGCGAAAAAAAGATAACCGAAACATCGAACATGGAACTGACGACACGGGATACAAATTTGAGATTATAATTCGGAATTAAGTATTTTACTGATATTTTTTATTAGTGGATGCTACTTATCAACAAATCACATATTATATAAATTTCAATGAAATATATATACGTAAGAAAATAACTACTCACCACAGTACTGAAATTTTGACTGGAACTATACGTGAATTCACCACAACTTCGCCGCTTGCATTGTTTTCAAGATGACTGTCGTGCAAAGGGCGGGCTCTGTAGGTAATTTTTTACCAACACTTGAGTTAAAACGAGGACTTGACGTTTAAACTTAAATATTTTGCAGTAATTTTGAAGTTTAACATTGGACACAGAACTGACGGGTAAAAGTGAGTACAAAGATTATTAGTTTTTTAAATATTGCTATTATTCGAATCTATGATAAAATATGAAGAATACATTTTTTAATGTTTTATAGTTTGTAGTGAAATTGAAAAATTTAAGATACCTAATTTGAATATATTTTAAAATAAAATCACTCAAATATTTGATTCAGGAGTTTTGACACGCCAAGGTACTGATGTTTTGAATATTTATTATGTTTTTCTTCAAACGTGCTTTTGAAAAAATACATTAATATTGGGTGGGCAAGTTAAAAAAACTGGATCTTTTGTAATATACTAAAATATTTACAAAAAATATTAAAATACCTACTCTATTGACTGATGACATCAAGTTGTCCAACTTTTGTAGAATCACCCATATGTTGAAAGAAGTTTAACAAAAAAAAAAAACGAACTAGACTGGCACCACAAAATACCTATGTAGTATTTAAAATAAAATATGGTCGAATTTTGCAAACTTATTTTTTTTTACTTCGGCTTGTTATTTCAAACCCAGTTAAGCAGTATTATGCTGCAAGTATTTTAACACCATAACTTTTCTATTTTTGTACTGTAAAGATTTCTCCTTACACCAGGTTCGTTAAACCAAGTTTTATGAAAAATTAATAAATGAACTATTTTGTGACTATGGCTCGTGATCCTCTTACCAAAATTTGGACCTCTACGTTGTGGTTAGCTGTTACTTGTTTTATTAAATACATTGCTTTAAGAATCATACTTGGAAGAATTAGGTGGCTCTTAGGGAGATACGACCAGGGAAAAAGAGCTTGAGAAAAAACCCTGTTCGGCTATAAAGTAGCAAAGGATTACACGATTAGGCATTGTTTCTTTTAAAAGTTTATGCAAATCAATGGAATGACACGAGGCTCGTTACGCTATCTAACCCTTACAGGTTCAAAAATAGGATAAACGTTGTTAGTTTAACAGGGCAGTTAACTGTTAGTCTGTCAACGTTAACGTTGCCCTGTGGAGAACGAGGTCCACACTGGAAGCATTTCGCGTAAAGATGCAGTTTCGGGATAAAAGTTGCGATGCCACCTAGAGAACCTAGGTGACCAGTTATCCCTCACTGAGGGGAGCATTTTAGTATCTACTGCAAACTACGTACTAAAGAAAAAGGAGCATTCAAAGTTTAAAATTAACTGTCAATACTCCCTTTTAAGCAACGAAACGTCCTGTATTACACTGATATTTGTTGTAAATATACCGCAAAAAAAATGCATAATCGTGTTGGGGAAGGTCTAAACATTTGAGTTACCGGGACAGTATACAACTAAATTAAGCCTAAGACAATTAAAGAAAGGAACATACATTTTTACATTTAGCAGTAAACCTAAAAGGCAAAAACATTTTATAAAAATAGCTAAAATTAATATCGAGTAAAATTCACTAAACGCAGTAGTGCAAAATAACTAATGCTCAGTTTATTTAAATCTAAATCGTTCTACGTTTAGTGGACTTTACTATATAATTGGGCTACTAAAATTAAGAACTAACCTGGGAGAATACACAAACACTTGTAACAATTATTTAATAAATAATATTATAGTGGATCCAATAAATGAAACTGAAATTTTAAATGCAGTAAAAAAGCTAAGCAACAAGTTTACTTGCGGAGTTGATTATATTCCAAGCTTCATTGCTAAGGATTGCAGTGTTGGACTATTGAAACCGTTACTGTATCTATTTAACCTAATTTTACGTACCGGTAAATTTCCCAAAATTTGGAAAACTTCAAAAATTGTTCTGGTCTTGAAATCCGGTGATTCTTCTAACGTTGAAAACTATAGGCCAATTGCTATACTTTGTAATTTTGCAAAATTGTTCGAGAGTATTATTTATAGAAAAATATACTTCCAGTTAAGTCATATAATATCAAATCAACAACATGGTTTTATTGAAAAACGGTCAACGGTCACCAATTTAACATTGTTTACACAGTTTGCCAGTAATGTGCTTGATAATCATGGACAAGTGGATGTAATCTATACAGATTTCCAGAAAGCCTTTGACCAAATAGATCATAATAGACTTCAGATTAAATTAAAAAAAATCGGATTTTCTGACCATTTAATATTTTTCTTCATTTCCTATTTAACAGATAGAAAGCTATATGTTTCTTACAATGAGTTTTGTTCTAAACCGTTTACTCCAACATCAGGTGTTCCACAAGGATCCAATCTAGGACCACTACTTTTTCTTATCTTCATCAACGACCTACCAGACATTTTAACAGCTTACAATTTACTATTTGCTGATGATCTGAAACTCTACTTAGAAATCAAAACTGTTGATGATTGCATTAAACTGCAAAATAATTTGAATAATCTATATAATTGGTGTATCATAAATAACCTTCATTTAAATATCAATAAATGCAAGAGTATGATATATACAAAGAAAAAGCATAGTATATTGTATAATTATGAAATCAACAATAGGCGTTTAGAACAAGTTACAGAATTTAAAGATCTGGGAGTTAGGTTTGATACGAAGCTGAATTTTATTAATCATATCAACGCGGTAGTAAACTCATCTTTTAGAATGTTGGGTTTTCTCATTAGAAATACCAAGCAATTTATAAATGAAAGCTCATTAAAAATGCTGTATTTTGCATTAATAAGGTCAAAGATGAAATATGCTTCCATAATCTGGTATCCAATCTATCTAGTCCATATAACAAGCATTGAAACTGTACAACACAAATTTTTAAAGCTCTTACATCTTAGAATATATAATGAATATCCAACTCAGGGATTTGACCATGATTTGCTACTATCGACATTTGAATTTAAATCTCTAGAAAAGAGAAGGGTTATTGCATCAATTTCATTTTTGTTTAGGTTGCTTAATTCTCAAATTAGTTGTAGTGATTTTCTCAGATTAACTTTTCGGTGCCAAGATTGACTAGCATAAAATAAAATTACTTTTCTTCTAAGCTTTAATAAAACTAATTGGGACTTAAGTCGCCCTTATTTGTGATGTGCAGTAACTTTAATAAATTCTGTGAATCTTGTGATATAAACTTTAATACGCTTAGCCATATAATTAAATATGTTAATTAGCATCTTTAAATGTTGCACACATAATCTGTTGTTTAGGTTTATCTATATATTTTTTTATAATTTGAATACTATATAGTACGCATGTATCCTATTTAAATGTCCTGTAATGGTTTAAACTGTTGGGCAATAAATAAATTATTATTATTATTATTATTATTATTATTATTATTATTATTATTATTATTATTATTATTATTATTATTATTATTATTATTATTATTATTATTATTATTATTATTATTATTATTATTATTATTAAACAGAACTTTATAATAAATTTAGTTTTAGTAAAAATGTATAAGAGCCGATGTGTTCGATACAATTTTCAAACGCTTTCTGTCCCTTTCTGTTCTTCCTTTCCCAAGTTTTGATGTTGTTTTCATCTTTTCCCATTTCAGGCAAAATTTCGGTATTTCACGAAACTTTGTAATTTCTTTACCTAACTGTTCGTTTTTACCCCTTTTGCAAAGATTTTTACATTTTACAACACAATTTATAAATTACAAACTTATTCAAAAATAGTATCTAATTTTTCCATTTAATTTGTTTTAGCCATTATACTTTGCCTTCCTGCCGACGAATCAGGACAAAAAGTGATGCGGGCCATCGACTCGTTGCGTTTACCCCACGATCACAACGCGCTAGCGGTGATTCTGGACATTTCAACTCTACCATCGTGGCGAAACAAGTTGTTGAATACGACGCCGGAACATAATATCACAAACTTCCTAGACAACATTAGTTACTCGACCCAGAAACACATCCTCGTGTACGTTGACGAAGTGGCGTTAAACTCGTCCTTGGAGGTTGAAGTGGTGCACAACATAAAAAGGACATACTTGAGATTGTACGGAGTAAGTGGCGATCGGTTTTGTTTGTACGACACTTTTTTCAGGCCATTAATGCACGTGTATCAAAATTTCAGTAATGCGTTTGTTGTCGACAAAAATACGATTTATTTTGACGATTGGTTTTCAAAGCACATACAATTGGAAGAGTGTGATAACTGTGCAAGTCAAATGGAGAAGGCTGTTAACGTTTTAATTATTTTGGGGTGTTCGTGTGTTTTTGTGTCGGTTATTTTGGGTGCTGCAGTCATTGCAAGAAATCAGTTATTAAAAAAACGTGTTTCGAAAGGACCTTATAAAGTACTTTTGACTGCCACTGATTTTGTGTTTCCTCAGATTGCCGATAGCAGAAGGGTAAGTTGATTTATTTATTTGAATTATGTACAATGCATTTTTTAGTGAAGGTAAATTTAATTAAACCCTCCAGTGGTTCCGCATTTTAGCCTAATTTGGTACCTTAACTACGGTTTCGCGAAAGGATCGAACGGTCGATTTGCAAGGGTTCAAGAAATCGATTGAAACTTTTTTACCTTTTTCTAGATCTAAATGCAGTACTTTAAAAAAAAAAATATTGTTCATTGACAACTTTTTTTTTCTTCACTGTGTTAAAAATTAAGAAATTTAATTTTGTTTAGATTTTAACGTACAGGGGGCGCTGATGATAATTTAATTTAAAATTTAACAATTTTTAAAGGCTAAATAATCCAAGAAGCAACTTTCTTTTATAAATTTGAGTATAACACGTTAAAGTATTGATATTTGACTATTATTTGATATATTAACTTATATGCAAATGATGTTTCTGTGGCCAGGATCAGTTTTGAATAGCATTCATAAATATTTAGTTTAGTACATTTTGTCATTTTTATACAAATATTTTTGTATCTTTTATTAATAATTAACTATAGCATAACACATACATGAAGTTTAATATACAGGGTGTTTCACGAACGTAGTCCGTTAGAAATTTCTAGGTAATCGCGAAATCGATTTAAAATTTTAAAATAATAATACTTCCTGTTTTACCGAAAATGTCTTTAACTTTGTTATTTTAGACATAAAATACATAAAATTCTGAGTAAAATGGCTATACCATTAGGGTGTGTGATATTTTTTTTTCTTGCTCTCCACCCATAATATCGTAGAATATGTCCAAACAAATATTCTGTTAAAAGCGGAGCTCATACTTTCAATTTTAAGAGGTCCTTCATCGAATCTGAAGTTTTGCCGCTTAAATAACACAGAAAACTAACTTTTTTACCTTATTTATTCTTGCAACCTAGGAAGAATTTTTTTTCATAAAATCCATGACTAATTCTTATAAAGCATTAAATTTGGACAAAAAAATCTTATTAAGCCGAATTTCTATTTTCATTATTTGATTTTTTACAGAGCTTTATATTTAAAATTTTACGTTTTTCCCTTTTTCAGCTAAACTATAGTTATATATATATATATATTATATTATAATATTATAATATATTATATTATAATATATTGAAGTTAGACGAAAAAGTCAAATGGCAATTTTTTAGCTCGTCTGATGGACCACAAAGTTTTAGGCGAATTTTTTGTATCGTCAATATTCTAAAAGTTACAGGCGTATAAAGTCACCATTTTTGTATTATTAACTTTTTGTTAGTGAAATATTAATGTTAGCACAAAAAGTGAATTATAAAAAAAATTGAATTTTCGGAAAAATTATCCTAGTAAAATTTGATGTACTGTCAACCATTAAAATTTAAAGACTTATTTAAGCTTATTTCGATATTTTTTGTGTAAATCAGATAAACAATTGACAATAGATACAAAATTTTATAAGAATTTCATGTCCTATTCCATTGTTTACAGTGAATTATTGATTAAAATACTAATATTAATATCTTACTAACTATTATCGTACAAAAAATTCTGAATCTGTAATTATTACATTAATATTCATTATATTATTTATATTCAGTACATTATTTCATTTATTTCGAACTTGATAGGTATACATATTGTAAAACACGGTTTACTTATAATAACTTTGTTGATATTTAAATTCAAATTTAAATTTCCCAAAGAATTTACTAACAGCGCCCTTGCAGTATTATTGTTTTCTTTTGATATCGGTAAATTTCCGCTCGATAAAATCAATTAGTGAGCTCTATTGTCTTATGCTGTAATTAGTACTTAATTGAGGTTAGTTTTTTATACGTAATTAATAAAACTATCATAAAAGTTGTTCACTGTTAAACAATGTCGAATAAAACAAGTCAACGAAAGTTTATGAACTTGGTAGATTTTTAAATAAAAACCTTAAGCAATTTGAAGTTACCTCCAAATCGTGATGTTTTGTTTGTTTTATTATAAACATCGCACCGAAAACTTTATTATCCGTAATAGTGCGAAAATTGTTTTGAGTAAGGTTATAAAAGTGTGGAGTAAATTCAGATTCGATGAAGAACCTCTTAAAATTGAAATTATGAGCTCCGCTTTTAACAGGATATTTGTTCGGAACACAGGTGGTCTGTGGTTCGGACATATTCTACGATATTTTTGGTGGAGAGCAAGAAAAAAAATATTAAGTTTTTTTGGCACACCCTACTAGGTATACCATATCCTATACCTGGAGTCAATATTTGTTGAGTTATTAATTTTTCAATTAAATATTTTAATTAATTTTAAACCATGACAGATTAAGTGGTATGGATACTCTAACATTAACCCACGTGTAAAATTTCACAGGTTTGTTGATATAAAATAGGTATTGGGTATAGGTATAGTATTGAAAATATTAGAAATTGTTAAATGTCTATGAAATTTTAACTTTAGGATCAGTTATTATAATACCAATCGAAAGTTTGCATAATTTCAAGTGGTTTTTATAAAACTATTTGTTAAAAAACCTTAATTAAATTATTTAAACAATATTTTAATATTCCAAAAATTCCAACCCCATGTCAGCAAACATAATAACAAACACATTAGGGGCTATTTTTGATTAACGTGCATTTCCAAAATTTTAACGAAAAAAATTAATATCTTGAAAACCATTTACTTTAGGTATATTCTAAATCAAATTGTATATGCTATTAAAATTTCTAATCCATATCGTTCGCGTTTCTCCAGAAACACCCTGTACTTATAGCATTATATTAAATATAAAAAAATGCAAATAAGTAATTACAAAAAAGCGCAAAACAACTGAATAAAAATATACATATATCTAAATAGCTGATCGCAACATAAAAAATAAAGTCTTTATTCTAATTTATTTATTGGGTAAATATTATTTTCCTCAGTTTGGAATTAAAATTGAAGCTTGCTTATCGAGTGAAAAATAAATTGAAGCTTGGTTGTGGAGCAAAAAATAAAATTGAAACGCAATCAGTCATTTGCAACTTATAAACTGAAATGTAGAAGTTTATACCTATATCAAATAATAGTTAATTTTCAGTACTTTAACGTGATATACATAAAATTATAAAACAACGTTGCTTCTTAGACTTTTGAACACTTAAAAAATGGTAAATATTTAAATCAAATTATTCCCAGCGTATGTTAAAATCTAAAAAAAAATAATACGTGGATTTATTGCCATTAATATGATCTACATTTTATCTTAATTTCAAATCGATACGTTTTTAAATAAAAATGTTATTACAAAATATCGAAATTTATCCTATTTTTAACACAGTAGAGTGACTTAAGGCCTGAAAACCACAGCGGTCAATGGATGATTTTTTTAAAATTTACCATTTAGATGTAGAAACAAGGTTAAAAAAACATATTAAATTCTGGCATCACTTAGCAATTGCAAACAAATGTCCAAAATTTGTTCGATTTTTACGCAAAACCATAGTTAAAATCTAAATATTCCTTATAAGGTGTTTATAGGGTGTTTTTGTTTAAGAATTTGTTTTTTGGAAATGACGAACAAAATTATTATTTTTAGATAAATCGGGTAAAGTTTTTTTCATCCTAGTCTTAAAAAACGTTTGTACCAATAAAGATCCAACTAGTGTTAGATCTATGTCTCACTATCGGACTTTGTATCGGTTTTATGTATCGAAGAAGTGTGCTTCTAGAATTTAAACTTTAAGCTCAGTATAAATTTATTTCCTTTTCATCCTAATTACATACACTGTTATAAAAATAAGATTTGTTAACATGAGTTTGTAGTTTGTTAATTTAATTTTGTAAAATTTTAACATAATTTTTTGTAGAACACAAGGGTTTGTAATTATATTAACAAAGGAAAGTATTTTACCGAAAGTTTTGCAAAGGTAATATGCATTTTATAAGCATTTTGTTAATTTTAAAGGTTATTTCGTTAAAAAAGTACGTGATTTCAGGCAGTCAATCAAAACATTTCCCATTTAGAATACCCATTAACAAGTTTAACTAACTGTATGGTTCGGAACACAAACAAAATTATGATTCTTCGTTCTTATATAGGTTTTGGAATCATAAACTGCGGTGAGACGAAAGTAAGAGGTGCCATCTACCGTCTTTTGACATGTTCTTTGTTATATGTTTAAGACAGTAGATGGCACCACTTACTTTCGCCTCATTGCAGTGAATGATTTCAAAACCTTTATAAGGAAAGAAATCATAATTTCGTTTGTGTTCCGCACCATACAGCAACTCGGTACTGATGTTCCAATAAAGGGAAACAGCTGTTTGTCGATGCTGGTGAGGAACACGAACGAAATTAAGGAAAAGCGGTGACGAAATAATAACATCAGTTAGTGTTGTAGTAGTACTGATAAATAATATTGTACCAAATATTTTTATAATTTGATGATTTCAGAATTATGTTATTTAATTGTTTGTATGTTTTTTTTAGTTCATTTATGTAGGTATGTGTTAATTTTTTTGTTTAGGAAATTGACTAAAAAAGCAACATTTCTTATCAAAATTCTTTTCATTTAACTTCCGAGAGTTACAAAAAATACTTTTGTTACTGGGTCTACAAAAAGGTTTGTAAAAATACAAAATTACAAGAATTATGGTTAAAATATTGATATAGAATTTTGTTATTAAATATACAAAATGTTTGTTATATAATTACAAACTACTTATTCAATTGGTTAACAGATTACAATTGGTTGTAAACTTTAAAAAAAGTTATGTGGACCAGGATTAACATAAAATCTAGTTAACATTTGGTTAAAATTAACAAATATTTTTTTACTGTGTAAATAACTATTATCTTCAAGCCGTCTATAAATTAAACTTTTGTCAACACTCGACACGGAAGTGATTAATTATAGAATACATGCTTATCTTATAAGATGTACCACAAAAAAAATTGGTAAATTTTCTTTAACGTAATTATTATCACATTCAGAACTAACTAAATTTAT